ATCTTCGTAACTTTTTCGGGCGTTGTGCTCGAAGATGGTCGTCCAGAACTCTCGTCATCATCGACAGAGGTTCGGTCATTTTTAAAACGTGAATGCCACACAAAAGTTTGCGGACTCCCCAAATGCTTGCTTTAGCATTTCATAGGTTTCCGTAGCCGTTTTGGCGAGTCTTTGGCAAAATTTGATGCACACGCCATTCCGAAATCGCAGGAGGGTCGGTGTAATGCACTACCAAAACGCCCGTAACTAAGAAACAAATGCTAATTAGATGATGCCGGCTGGCACACTGATTCACTATGAATGTAGGCCGCACCCCCTAAAGTCAGAAGCTCGTAATACATCCGGTTCGCCCGCTATTGACACAGTCTTGAAACTTTCCGATCGCACCTCGTACACTGACCGTCGGTAAACGTCTACCAGACTGCACTCGTAGTAACCCAAAAGACTGTCTTCATAGTCGCCGAAGTGAACACCTCAAATATCACTATATAGAACGTTGATTTATTTTATTTTGTTTTGCTGGTATTGGTTAGAATCTGATTAATGGCTTGCCGAGATTTGTTCTCTATGTTTTCCAACGAATCGGGGAATGGATAGCAATTGATTCAGCATCTTGCTGTGTGATGCTATCTTTTTGTCCTCGATGGAAAGACGAGTTAACATAATGTTGTTATAGCTGCCTTCTCAGTTTTTGTTATAGATGAAAAATATTAAAAACAAACAACATAGTTAAACAACGACCAGTCAGTCATATGAATTATATATCAGCGGAAATCACATTCTAGAGATTCAACATTTCCTCTCCAGACGCTGTCAGGTTGGTGCATTCCTCAACATACTTAAAATAAAAACAAAAGAAAGGACTGGTATCTACTGTTTGCGCATTATCAAGAGTACAATTAGGCAATTATTATTCACCGTGCAAATAATTGCCAGATGAGAAGTGACGAATTATGTTTAGTGAATACAAGGAATACTTATTATGTTATTGTTCATTGTGTTATGATTGTGCATTTTCTTAATTCAACATTTCCTCTCCGCACAACTCAGGACAGTCTATCTGCTAATAAGCTACGATGAAGTGTGTTAGTCTGGCAGTGTCAAAGTATACTTATTCCAGCTTTGTTGTTTGGATTGATAAGGAGGGCTCTAGTCTTCTGAAGATAAAGTTATCCCAAGACCAAACAGTATTAGGGTGGCCAGATCAGGATGATTGATTGAGAAACCGGACAAGCAGCACGCACAGGGAAATATAGAAACATAAACAGCTTTAGCCGGTCAATTTCAAAGGAGGATACTGTATGGGAGACATACAATTAAAAATAATCTTGAAGGAAAAGGGTTTGAGGTTTCGAACTGGCTTACATTGGGAACTTTGGCGGAATTCCCTTACTCAATTTCTTGACTAAGGCATAACTTGTACAATAATAGATTGTAATATAACTTAATAGCGGCCTGAGCGTGAAGCTAACCACTTACCTCCATTTGATAACGAGGCTAAGAATTTGTGAAGCGAATTCTCCACTTCCACATACGTATCGTCGTCAAGACATGCATAAACAAGGGGCAGCACTAACGTTTTGTTTGACAGTCGATGGCGAAGCTGAACTAGAATTGCCATTCCTGATCTAAGAAGTCGAGGTTCCGGTGGTACAGTAATTAAGAACGGTATTTAGAAAATTACTGTTAAAACAGTACATTTAGGGCAAGTTACTTTATGTTTTCTTTCTAAATTCTATTCTTGATTTGTTTGCGACTTTCATGAATAACCATTGCAGTTACGATGATTTTAAAAATAAACAGATTCATGGAGCGAACCTTAAATAAGTTAGTCCCCCTTCCACCGCCCATTCAAAGTCGTCATAAATAACCCTGCATTAGATAAAGTATCATGAAATAAACTAATAAATGCAGATATAAAATGAAACACGTTAACTTATGCGTTGACTGCCTAGCTTTTGTGAATAAGGTGATAACTCCTCGGGTTTCACAGGAGAAGTAGGACGTTTTTCGACTAGTTCAGTACCTTTCAATTTCTCAAGAAGATTCTACAGTAAGAGTAGGTAGTCATGTTAAATGTTTATGTTTGAGGCAAGTTAACATTCCCTGGTGCCAATGACGTAGGACCTACTTAAAATTATTTACACAGATATTTTTCACAATTTACCACGACAAAGCAAGTGCTACGTTGCTGTTTTACGAAGCTGACGGTACTGTCAGGTTTCTGCGGAATGATCTACGTACATTGAGAGAGCTTACGTGGATTCCTCTTCTTTCGACAAAAGAGATTAAAACAATTCATAACTGCTGGTCTTAGCACTGTTGTTCTCAGAATAATTTATATTTCCTTACATGCAGTCAGACTTGTTTAAAATAAAATTCTCTTCTTCTCCTATAAGCAATCTAAGTCTATGAACTAACTAATAAATGGCGTACCTTACACTAACAAAATAATGTTAATTTAAAAATGAATAACCATTATAACTTCGTTACTTTCTCGACAGCTTTATGTATTACCTGGGAAATAAATTATATGAGAGGAAGTAATAAAACAAAGATAATTTTAGAGCATCTCAGAAATAATGTTGGTAGTACTGAAAATTGTAGCGGATGTAATCAGTGAAATTAAACCTTCCGTAAAACTCACTTAATCCAAGCAACCGAGAGACTGAAGAAGTTTCTAAACTCTTCCTTACAAGTCAGTACCTGATCAGCACGAAGCAGAGGGATCTGAAATGCAGTCGGTCGGTAAGTGTTCCTGAATTCGGGGCGAGAATGCACATCCCCTAGTAGCAGCTCATGTCTAGGGTGGCGGTTTTCCGGCGGACCTCTCGGCCTGCGTTGAATTCGCACTAACTGAAGTTCGTGAAATACAGCATGCAGCGCTGAAAGGCAGTCCATATCATCAGTCAGCATCATCCGCAGCTGGTGTCGACCTAGGTCAAACACATCATCAGGTTTTAATATTTTTTGTAACGTCCTATAGATAATCAATCTAATGTTTACCAGGAGGCAAAACGGCTGGAACATGAACCTGATTAGTTCCCTCCATATTGCGCCGAGATTAAGAATGTTCATTCTTATTATCATCAACATAATCGTCGACAGGCTTGTCGGAAACTGGAAACATTATTAGTGAAAGTGAACAGCTGTGATTTGTACCAGACTATTGTAATTCAAATGACGTGTAAAGACAATTACTTCTGTGAGCGGCTTTAAGAACTGTAGGTATCAGAGTGACTATTCTCATAGCTCGACGAGGTCATTGTTAGGCCATGGACAAAGCAAGGCCACGACAATATCAGCCCAATAGTTTGCGGATCATAGACCTCTAAATATTTCAAGGTAATTTCTTCTTACTCTTATATCTGCCGAACTGTAAGTAACTGAATTATCACATTCATGTGAATTTAAGGTCACAAAAAGGTCAGGGCCATGCGAAGTCCACGACAAGATTACACCAAGGGTTTTCCAGATACAAGCCTCCAAAACATTCAAGGTCTTTACTGAATAATTTTTCCCACCCTTATTTCTGCCGAACCTTGCGCATCTGAGTTACCAAACTCATGTAAATTTGAGGTCACGCATAAGGTAAGGTCATGTCAAGGTCATATGGAAGTCACGACGAAATCGGCACTAAATTTGAGGTCACGCATAAGGTAAGGTCATGTCAAGGTCATATGGAAGTCACGACGAAATCGGCACAATAGTTTTCCAGATACAGGTCTCTAAAATTCTAAACGTCATATTATTTCACCCTCATTTCTGCCAAACCGTAACTACCTGGTTGACCATACACATAATAAAATGAGGTCACTGATATGTCAAGGTCATATGGAAGTCACGACGAAATCGGACCAATGCTTTGCCAGATACAGGTCTCTAAATTTCTCAAGGTCATATCTTTTCACGCTTATTTCTACCAAACCGCAAATGCCTGGTTGACCAAACTCATGTCACGATGAGGTCACGGATTGGGCAAGATCATATGGAATTCGCTACAAAATCGGCCCAATAGTTTGTCAAATACAGGTTGGGTTATGTTAAGTTAGGTCAGTTCAGATCAGTATGGGTTGTATTAGGTTACTTTACGTGATATCCGTAACTCTGAAATTTCGAAATTATATTTTACCGATTTTTTGTAGCCCTCACATCTTAAGCCTCCGGGTTTAATTCGTTTTATTTGTTATATCTACTTCTGGCAAAGGCCCATTTAAATTCAACAGGGAATGATTTGCTTCGTATCTTCGTCCCTTAATTTTTCCATTTTCTTTCATTTATCACTTTTTAACTTTGATCTCCGTTTCTTCTTTACCCTTTGTTCCTTTGCCACACCGCTTAAATTAGACCATTAGTTAAATTTGTGCTATTAATATATGCTGTGTTCTACGTTATATAAGCATTAGGTCTTCTAAAATTTGGATAATGGTAGCAGCTATTGTAATTATTTAGATATAGTAAGAAGATGTTTTGAAAGGTTTGAAAGTCGCGGTTTAGATATCTCCATCCCTATTTTGTAGTTAGAAAAACATTAGATTTTATTCTCATCTCTCAAATTGCTTATTCTGACTGGTTTATATGGCATTCCTCAGTCACTCTAATAAAATTCTGCCTTGGTACCATAAATAGACTGTAATCGCTTACTTCCACATACTTTCCATTTAATTATTCTCTGTCTGCCAACCAGTAGGCCTGTACTTTAAAAGAGTCGTTAAATAATCTAAGTTATAAACAATTTTCCAGTATAAATAGCATTACTTAAAGCGTTATTGGCAAAATTCTGTGAACGCCACAGTGTAGAGAAAAAGTGATGTGTAGTTAGATTACATCGTGTGCAAAAAGTGTCTTTTCTTGTGTATTACTGACACCTCATGTTAGTAAATTTGGTTTTAAGTATTTATGTAATAAACACAAACATTATGAATATTTAGAATGTATTCCCTGCGTGAAATATAAAAGAAATAAAGTACCCGAGTGATATTATTTCATGCCACGTGAACTGGATTGCAGAAGATCAAATCTTTAAAAAAAATACTCAGATAAATCTCATGGGTAAATTAAAACAGCCAGGTATAGAACTTGAAACACATCCCGGCTCTATATTTATGTACGTTAGAAAATATTGTGTTCGTGACAAGTAAATCTGGCTTGACACCTCTATTCCAGTTGCTGCAAAGTCCCCTTGCATGTGGATGTGACTTTTCGAGTGACTAACTCGTATATCGTCTGCTTGGCTTTGACAAATCGTCTGGTCGGTTTTGTTCAATCAGCTGCTGGATTTCAATATATCGACTATCCGATTTTAACTTATCGACTGGTGGTTTTCAATATACTGGCACGTAGATTTCGATTATCGTCTGTACATATATCGGGTGTTCGTTATCGATATATGAACTGGTCGATTTCGATACATCACTGACTTCTTCGACTTAACGAGTGGTCGACATTGATATATCGACTTGTCGCTTTCGATATAACGACTGGTAAATTTCAATTTGTTAGCTGGTAGATTTCGATATGTAGACTGATAGATTTCAACTGATGGACTGATGGTTTACGATATTGCCGAATGGTTGTATTTCGATATATCGCCTGGTTGATTTCGGTTATCATCTGGATTTTTTAGACGATAATATGTATAGTCCCTACCTTCTTAGTACTGTGCACATAGTACTGTTGTTCTTAGGAAGTACAGTTTAAAGTTAAATGACATTTGATATTTTCATGGTCGAAGAAGCAGT